GGCTTGGGACCCCATTTCTAGCATCAGGTGGTTGGCTGATGTCGCCAATGCCTTTCGCACCAGCCCGTTGTCCCGAGGGGGACAAGGTCCGACTTGCTTCCTGCCTTTTGAAGGACAGGGCGCGTGATTGGTGGGAGAAGGTTGGACATGCCATTGGAGATGATGCAGCTCTTGATGCGATGACCTGAAGTGATTTCTCAGCCATGTTCAGGCCGAGTTCGCACTTGTGATTGAGGTGCAACAGCTTGTGAGGAAGTTCCAATATCTCCAGCAGACTACTGAGACGGTGGCAGAGATCACTGCCATGTTTCGGGAGAGGGCTTATTTGGTTCCGCAGTATGCAACAGATGAGGAAATGAAGAAGGTAATGTATCATGACATATAGCGGAATGATATCAGGGAGATCGTGAGTATCTCGGGGTGCTATACCCAGAATGATATGATTTCTAGAGCCCAGGAACGGGATATTGATTTGGAGCACATTGAGAAGAGGTCAGATCAGGTGCATATTTTGGAGTGTCCCGGGAAAAGACCCAAGACTTCTGATCAGCTGATGAGAGGCCAGCAGTTCCGAAGTCAGTGCAGCACATGCGGGAAACTGCACGATGGAGTTTTTCATTCCAAGGGTTTGAGTAAGTGTATCTCTAGGTTTATTCTATGTCTGTGTTTGAATTATATTTTCAAGAGATGTCATATGCCAATTGCATACCGTGAATTATTAGTGGTTAGTAAAAGTTTGTTTCCCTTTTTTGGGATGGAAGTGTTCAGTGTTATCTTGGTTACGATCGAGATCAATTTAGGGGCATTATGCCGAAGGTCTGCGGTCAGGGTTCAGCAGGGTAGTTATCCACCCTCGACAGGTTTCAGTGAGTCAGTCATTGTGCTCAGATTGACTCATGGTGTCACCAAGGGAAGTGGTTTATTACTGAAGTTTTGCTTTGAGCATCGGTTAATTGGACTCTAAGATTTGAGTACGGTATCATTTCACGGCATCTGGAGTTATACGTATTGCTGGGATTCGAAAAGCGTTCATCTAGTCTTCAGTAATTGTGCGGTCTTTGGAATGGACTAGTAATGGATCACTAGCAAGGTTAAGCGTTGGTAGTCAGCGTGTCAATTGTGAAAGGAAAGAATGGAATGGGAATCCTTCAATTATCGTGTGCTTTAAGGAATTAGTCGAATCAAAGTGGGGGAGAATCGTCCAGGGATTCAGAAGCAGGAGCAGCCTTGAAACTGGGATAAGTTTCGCATCCTTGTCAGGAAGGAAGACAGCCCAAGCAGCTATATGGATTCAGGTTAGTGTGAGTTGGAAGTTCGGAAAACTTGCCAATAATGAGATCGCGTTCTCAGAATGTTTGATAGCAGTCTTTAGGGAATCAGGTTGGGGATTCCAGTCAGGACATGAGTTCAGTTTGGGATGTTAGATCATGTGTTCCGTCGACGTTGGATGTGTTCGGATTGGTAATCAGCGATTGAGACAGCGTGGAAAGTGTTGTACGACTGCGGGATAGTCGTAGCATTCACTAGCAGCCAGATAGTGTGGGAAGTGCTGTAAGATTGCGGGATAGCCGTAGCATTCACTAGCGGCCAGATAGTGTGGGAAGTGTTGTAAGACTGCGGGATAGTCGTAGCATTCACTAGCAGCCAGATAGTGTGGGAAGTGTTGTAAGACTGCGGGATAGTCGTAGCATTCTTCATGTGGTTAGATAGTATGAGAAAGTGTTGTTAGACTGCGGAATAAGACGTAAGCATTCACAGGTTCATTCAGATAAGTTAGGCTCTGGTGGGTCAGTTCATAGGATCATGGAAAAGGCCATAGTATGCTGTTCCGGACAGTTCCAGTGTTTCGGGCACTATCCGGTTGAAATAAACCGAAGGGGTGGGTCGAGCAACCAGATATGCTCGCCAGTATCCTATTGAAATAGACCAAAGGGGAGGCCACACCCAGATATGCTCGGCAGTATCCGGTTGAAATAGACCGGAGGGGAGGCCATCACCCACATATGCTCGGCAGTATCCGATTGAAATAGACCGAAGGGGAGGCCAGCACCCAGATATGCTTGGCATTATTAGTGTTTCAGGATTTCAGGTATGGATGGGTAACTGAATGATAGGGTAATGCTAAGTCACTCACAACGGGATTGAATACTCTCAGAGTAATTGATTTGACCCTGTTGCGCATCATTCGTCTGAGTCTAACCGTTGTAGGGATGAGTCTCCTACTCGAAGGATTATATGAGCCTTCTGTCAAGTATAAGTGTTCTGCAAGGGATAATTGGTCAATGATTCTATTCCTAATGGGAATCTCGAATATCAGAAGTTGAGTAGTTAGCTGGGAGATAAGGGAACGGGATTCAGTTATAATGATTCAGCATGGGCGGTCTGTCAGGGAGTCAGACCATCTCAAGACTCAGATTTCAGATTGAGTAAATGTGATCAAGATGCAAGGAATTCGTTCATCTTCGGGTTTTTAAAACCTGTGAAGGTTGGTTTCGGTCGCTTTGTGAAGGCTGTGGTATGCTCGGGATTGTGGCCATGTCGCTCAAGTTGTTTGGCGTGATAGGAATGGTAAGGAATGATTTCGAGGACGAAGTCTAATTTAAGTGGGGGAGAATTGTATCATTCCGTTTATTAAATAAATAAATAGATAAAATTAATAAATGAATAGTAGCCCTAATTTCGTAATAAATTAGCAAGGCGTTGGTTTTTGGAGTTATATGTCATAATTTTTGAATATTAGGGGTTAAGAGTAATTTCCGGATTAGTTTTGTAAATAATTTTGAAGGCTGAGGACTGTTTGGTAAATTACAGAATTAAATTGAAAAGGATTTCAGAAGTCAGGGGTTGAATGGTAATATATGGACTTAAGTTGAAAGGAATTGAGGGGGAGGGGTTGCAAGTGTAATTATGGCTAAAGGTTTGAATATGGACGGGGTATATAGCCCGTCATTCCTGTAACCCTAACCCTACTTCAACATTAGCCACCACCCTTATATCCCCTAACCACCGGCCGACGCCACCATCCATGTAGCTCGTTTTTCCGATCAGCTAACGGCCACCAAGCGACCACTGTACTTCCACCATTCTTCTTCTTCTCCTTCTTTAACCGCCACCATGTGAAGCCCTCATCCGCCACCCGTTACTTCGCCATCGAAGTGCCACCACCACTATTTGGAACGTAGCGAATAGCCAAGAGATCCACCGAAGGCTGGTGGCGGAACAAGGAGTGTTAGTGTGGGTCGTGAACCACCGAGATTGCTGTCGCCGCTGCGCCAAAACCATTGAAGACGAAGCCGCCGTCGGACGCCGCTGCTGCCATCATCGCTATTGCGGTTCAACTCTCCCCACCTTTTCTTCCACAGTTGAATTGACGTGGCCGTCACTGCCATGCGGCTGTTCCACCGTGACCGATATTCTTTGACCGCTGCACACCACCAGGTGGGTGGTTTCCATCGTATTGGCATATGTAGGCATGTATGTTGCTGTTTCCGGTTGTGTATGTCGAAAGTGTGAAGGTTTGGTCGGAAACCGTAGAGACCCACCACCACCACCGAGAGGTGGTGGCTGTCACCTCCGACCACCGCCTGCCGCCACAAGGGTGGATGAGCGTGTGTGTGTGTGTGTTCTTTTGGATATTATGTTGTATAACCATAATTTTGTGGCCGGAATAATCAAGGAAAATCCACCACCACCACCGTGAGGTGGTAGCTGCCGCATTCTGCCGTCACCACCCGCCGTGTTGGGTGGCGGTGTGCATTTGAGTGTGAATGGATTGCTATTTGAGATATGCTTGGACATGTTTTGGTCTAGAATCATAACCACCATCACCACCGCAAGGTGGTGGCTACCGCCGTGAGCCACCGTTGACCACCACTACCCCGAGGTGGTAGTGGGTGGTGCCCGAATTAATTAACACTAATTAACCAAAAAATTTAACCATTTGTCTAAATTGGCACGCGATTAGGTTGGAAACCCTAATTAGGGTTTAGAAAACCCTAATTAGGGATATATTGGTTTTGGAGTTGTCGATACCCGCTTTTTGGACCATTGGATTGAAGTTATGGCTTAAGTCCTTAATGGGTTAAGTAAGAACATTTTAACCCTAATCGTCGTTTTATGTGAAAACCCTAATTTTGCTTGGGCCTTGAGTTGGGCATTTCTTTTGGGCTTTGGTGATTGGGCTATTGATGAGCCATCCAAGAACAAGTATATGGACTAGAATATTTGGATGGGCTTTAGGGTAAGACCCATGTGAGGGGTTTGGGCCCAATTTGGAAAATTGGGCCTTGGTTGATTATTTGACTTTTGGGCCTTCAGAGAATGAGTTTTGGCATGGGTCTTGTACCAAGTTAGGTTAGGGGTAAAATGGTCATTTTACCCCAAGTGTGATTTTATGGTTATGCGTTGAAACCCAAATGGTTAATTGGGTTTTGGTTTTGATGTTGACAGTTCGGGAATCTGTCATCCAGCAGCTAGAGTTTTATCTGCGGGACTTCAGCAGTGCGAGGTGAGTTTCCTCCTGTAGGAATGGGTCGAAGGCACCAATGCCGGCCTGTTTATGTATGTTAGTATGTTCCGGACTAAGGTACGATGTCGTACAGTGCCCGATGTAGGTTTATATGTTTCTGGATTCCAATCTGATGCCGGGCGGTGCCCGAGAAATGTTTGGATGCTTGATGTCTTCGTAATTCTTGCATGTGTCTGTATTGTATGTTTCCGGATTACGGTCCGATGTCATGCAATGCCCGAGGAATGTTTGTATGCTTCCGGATTTCGGTCCGATGTCAGGCGGGGCCCGAAGTTGCCTTTAACTTGGTTTTAATATGTTTTAAGACATTTTTTTTGACCTTTATATGATGTAAAGACAAACTTGTGGTCTTTTCATGCTAGGGGTTATCTTGACTAATCCTAATTGAATATGTTTATGCTTGGTATTATTTATTTGTTGTGTATGTTTGAGCATGCATTTCATTTGAATGTATATTTATTGTGACCCTGCAATGAAACCAACAATCTACACGTTTTCATTAGAATGTGACTTTCATTTAAAGGTAAATGTGACTTTCATTAATGCATACAACCAACAAAAGATACTTAAGAAACAACACAATTTCCTTTCATTTCATTAAAAAGGACATAGATGGAAGAACAAAGATGTCACCACAATGAGAAATTCATTTTCAATAAGTACACATATAATACAAGCTTGATAATAAATCCTAAACTAAGCTTGGTTACTTTTTTCCTGATTTCCTCATTCTCTTTCCTCAAACCCTAAAGCATGTGGAAGATATGGTGGATAACCTACTGACACATGTTCAAATCCTGGCACCACTCAGCCCTTGTGGCCATGGAGGTTCACCTGCAGTGACTCCAGGGCATGAGACAAAGCTTCATGTTTGCAGCGGGGGATTAGTCGGTGCGCGAAAGCTGGCCCGGAAACCCTCGTTAGGGAAGTTCCCATTCAAAATTTTTTTTTTCTTCATTTCCTCAATCTCTTTCCTCACAACCAAAGCATTAAGATCATTTTTTCTTCATTTTTTCCATTTATAGCTTCATTTCCTTTATCTTTTATCTTATTGGAACTTTCGGTTGAACTGGTTCGCGATCAATCCATTTCGTGACAAAAATACCCTTTCCAGCGGTATCCGTTGTTGCCCTTCCTCCTTGAGGTTGAGGGTTCAAGTCCCGTCGTGAACATATGTGGATTTAAGGTGTAGATTAATTAGGAGTAAGTTAGATTTGCCGTTTCAAAAAAATTATCCCCTAAAAAGCATAGGAAAGAAGTTTCATGATTTTCTAGCGAATGAATAACTTTTTATGGTTTCCCGCCTTTTATATCAACAATCACATCAAACACTGTACATTCAACCGGTTAACTATACCAACAACACTCATGGAAAATGGAGCCTCCGTGGGAAGAAGCTCTTGATGCAGATGACTCCGATCTCCAATCACTGACCCTTCTCCGCCCCTGCAAGCAGCAGCGCCGCCATGACGAATCAAAACCCTCCATCAATACCCATCTTTCCCAATCTCAAACCCTAGATTCCTCAAAAGTCGCCATCTGAAGCCGTTAACTCTCTTCCTCAAAACATCACTTCCGCATATCAGGCTGAAGCACCGCCTCATGTTCGTGCAATTCCAGGCCCTGCTGGCATTGTTCAGTCTGCTAAGCTCCGTAAAACTCGAGATATGGAAAATATATTAGGCCAGGAGGAGCATCCAATGGCCACACAGGAGTATATAAGAAGAGTGGTTGAAAATCCAGAGGAGGATGACGATTTTCAGGGTAGCCCATGGCTTTCCGCAATCGAATTTGTCTACTCTGATGGTAGAGTAACAATCAATTGCGTTCATTCTTCTATTATTAAACTTGTCAAAATCTGGACATTTGATACTTATTAATGCGTGTTTATTCTTTTGACTGAAGGTATGTTCAATTCTGTCCCGAATGCACCTTTGGGCGATATAAACAAGTATCTGAAAAACGGAAAACTTCATCAGGTATCACGATGAGTGTATTCCTCAATTTACTGTAAAACAATTAGGGTTTCGACAACAAATTATATGAAACTGACAGGATGTCTAATAAACTAGGTTAACTTGAGCTATAATTTCTTGATCAGTGAAGAAAATCATTACCAATTTTTAGGCACTTGACAGATTGATCGATCTTCTTCTGTAACCTGTTGCAATTTTAGATACCCCTCTTTGATTTTGATCTTTATCTTTTACTCGATTCACCCTTGTAGACTTGAATTAACATGTAGTTTGTATATAACAGGTTGTTGCTGTTATCAAGTCTTGTACTTCAAATGAGCTAGGTGATCTGAAAGTAACACTAAAAGTAAGGATCTTAATATGCCATATTATGTTTATGTCAGTATTTTTAGTTAAATTCTAGTTACTTATTTGTTAAGCTTTAGGATCCTACAGGTGTAGTTTCTGGTACTATTCATCACAAAGTGCTAACAGAGGGGGAGTTTGGAAAGGGTATTTTTGTAGGATCTGTTTTGATACTTCATAAGGTATGTTGTTAATTGTTATGTTTATAGCTATCCATATCTTCATGTACAAAATCAAATTCTGGTTTTTGAAATCTTCTTAAATTTACACCTGTTTTTTGTTATCTAGGTTTCTGTGTTTTCTCCTTCAAGATCCTCTCATTATCTTAACATTACAAAGAGGAATTTGGTAAAGGTACACATTTTTCTCTAGTATCTTTGAACATAATTCATTGAGTATGATTTCTTGTAGTTCATTCTTTTGTCAATGAAAGTATTCACTTGATTAAAACATTCAAAACTTTATGTTATTTTGAATGATAATTAATTCTATTTACAGGTATTTTACAAGGATAATGGATCTTCACAAACACAGACATTTCATGGATGTAAAGTCATAGATAGACCTCCTGCTTCTGGTGAGTTGTTATGTTTCTTGGGAAATTTCCCTTAAAGTCCCTACATTTTGACCTTATATTCAGTTAAGCCCCTATATTTATTTACTAAAGTTTTTATAAAACTTCTAACCACAACTTTACTCATTCTTCCTTTACAAGATCTTGAACAGGGTGCAACAACAACGACATCGGGTCCCACATTTTCTCTTGAACAAATAGCAAAAAAGATGACAAATGTAACCAAAACAACTACTTATAGTCAACAAAATTCGCAAGAAAATGTAAGCCCATTTGTGTCAAGTGGGCCCAAGTTCACAGAAACCTTAAAAGAATCAAATCATAACATTACAAAGAGGAATTTGGCAAAGGTAAGCATTTTTGTAAATTTTGTTTTATTGTTCTTAAATTCCGTTTGAATATTTGATGCTTTTAAAAAACTAACCAAAAAAGAGCAAAATATCTTAATAAGAAAGTTTAATGCTATAATCGGATAGATTGCTCAAACTACAATGTACAATGGACACGGGACAACAAAAACATCGGGTCCCACATTTTCTCTTGAGCAAATTGCAAAAAAGATGGCAAATGTAACCAACAAAACAAGTGCGAATAGTGTGTCAACTGGGCCCCACTTCACGGAAACCTTAAAAGAATCAGATGTTATAAAAAGCGGTCTAAATGAAAATCCGGGTTTTGGAAACGGGCTAAAGGGAATGGATCCTAGTCAAGTTCAAGTCGAACCAACAATGGTTAGTGGTTCAATACCGGTTTGGACAGATGAACAGTTAAATGAACTCTTTGATGATTTTGTGGATGATATGTAAGCACATGGTTTTGATCATCATTTTTTTTGGTAGTGTTGATATATAGAACGTACATGAAATGAAATCGATTATCTTTTTTTGATGCTAGTATAATCATAACCAAAATCGTATAATTGAATCATAAACAAAATCGTATAATTGTGTCATTAAGTTGTGAATGAATTGATGCTTGGTCTATTGTTTGATCATGTTCTTTATACGAATGTATGTCAAACTATCTCCGCTTAGTTTAAGGCGCTTAATAATTAATCCATGTCTACACAATGAGCTAATCAGTACCAAACAATAAAATTTGAACACTCTGAAGAATATTTATCTCAATAGAAACTATTTAAGGAATGATCAGAATTATATTAATCATATTAATCTATTTTGTTATAATATTAGTGATATTTATGAACTTTATTATGATAGTAGTAATATTTAATTTTTTAAAATTCAAAGAATTAACAATTTATGGTCTCTAATTAATCCATTGATTAATTCTCGTTTAACCGATTAATTTTTTAAACCCCAATACACCACCGACCAACTAACGAGGAATGATATTTACAACCTTGTTGATTGCTAGTGGTGTGGTGTCTTGAAGTGAAAGGTTGAGGAATATCAGGAATTTGAGATCCAAAGACTATTATTAATGAAAAGTTTGATTACAATGAAAGGAAAAATAAATTATGAATTGGACATAGTTATGCCAAATCTAAAGAATAAAAAGCCAATAACTAAAACACTAAATAGAGGCCCATTATAAATATATGGTAATAATAAACACGATTCTCGTTCTATAAAGCCTGGCCGCTTAAACTGGTTAGCGAGGGTGTTAGGGATTAGTTTTGAAATGAATTTTTGGCTTTAAATTTTTCTAAAAAGTCAAAAAATGCTTTTAAGAAATATAAAAGTTTTTTCAAAATAACTTTTTGTAAAGAAGAAAAACATAGGGTTTTTGGCACTGTAGCATAACAAAGTTTGACAAATTTATATATTTAATCATTTAAATATTTTTTGTGCTCAATAAATCACTAAACTTGTAATTTACCTGTTAAATACACCATTATATGACCAGATACCGGAAGAGCAAGTGATTTTGTGATTAGACATTTTAAATTAGATTTTTCAAATATTTTTTAAGGGTCACAGGTAAATTATAAGTTTAGTGATTATTGAGCACATAAAATACTTAACTGACTAAATGTATAAATTCGCCAAATTTTGTTGTGCTACAGTGCCAAAAACCCAAACATGAGTTTTCAAATGTTAGGAAAGTGTGACTTTTTGTGACTTTTAGCCTTTTAAAAGCTAAATTACACCAAAAAGTCAAGAAACGCACAAACACTTTTTGACTTTTGTTTTCTCAAAAGTTAAAGTCAAAAAAAACCTTTTGAGCTTAAAAAGTAATCCCAAACACCCCTCCCTTGGTGTTTTCCTTTCTCGATATGATGAAGACGAAGGCACCCACTGTTTCCATTGTATTGGTCTAATTGACCAGATCAGTCCCTCCACTTGTATTAAATGATCAAATTAACCATAGTTTGTATTAATATGACCATATCAACCCCTTGGTTTATTTAAAAACAATCCTCTTGATATAAATCTTTACAAATCTCCCCCCATTTATTCACGTTATTACAAATCAGGCTCCATTTGTTTAAGCTATTACTAAACAACCCTTTATTTGTATATTTTAACCAAAACAGTCCCTTTTGGATTTAATTTATCACAAAAACAGTCACTTGTTTTAGTTAAATTACAAAACAATCCTTCTATCTATTTTACAAGATTTAAAAAATCCCTTTTGATTTACATCATTACAAAAACATCCCATTAGTTTTAAATATAACAAAATGGTCCCGGTGGTTTATTTGGCTTAAGAAAATGTAAATTGCGGTTTCTCATTTCAAGCTTCACAAAAATGAACCAACTTCGAACAAATCGAACTCATGCTTCAAGGGTGATTTTCTATGGCCCCTCTTTTATATTTTTTCATATTTGGAGGAGAATACATGTGTGTCTATCGAAGTTTTGATGATTTCAAGTTTTTATGTGTTAAAATGTATCATACTTGTTATTGGTCAAAAGCTTATGAAATAGCAATCTAGAACGCTATAAATTATTAAAGTATATTGCTAAAAGATAATACACTTACCTTGTTGTGAAATACTAATATGAATATTAAGAAAAATCATAAGATTTTAAGTGGACTGCTAAAATAATGCAAGTACATTATATGGTTTATAAAAATTAAGATTCTTGTTAAATATACACATGAATATGTCAAAGATGTATAAAATGAGATTATATATAACTTAGATGTTTTCCAAACTAAAAATGAATAATATAAAAGTACATTACCTAAATTGGTTGAAAAACAGAGTTTGAACAATTATGTGATAGTTAGTTGAATAATAACAAAAAACAACTAATAATTATATATCCTAAGGAGTTGTGCAAAAATGAACATAAAATCGAGTTTAATATATTTTTATAATTATTATAAAAATATAAATCATTCTTACTAAATTATGGAATTTGTCTTATATGACATCATAATTGATTTATGGATTTAAAGAATTGTTACCTAATAAATTATGTATCGTACCAGTTATGTAACTTATCAAATACTATGAGAATTTTTGGTTTCATGTAGGTTGAAACATGGAAAATGTTATGAAAGCAACCGTTATGCCGCCCAAATTTCGTCATAACAGACAATAAAAATTTGGAAATCCTTTAAGGCTTAGAATTCTCAAATACTAAAAGACTTCAATCAAATATTATTCCTAAACAACCAAATTATAAGTATTCAAAATCTTATAACGGAAAGTTTAGGATTAGGATGCCTAAACACATTATTAGGATCCAATACTCCTGGGTTTCCTATACGAGCTATGTTTGTTTCTAAAAACCATAGGAGCTAGGATCATTTCATAAGTCGTGGGCTATGTTGTTGTGTACACTAAGATCGATTGTCTTAGTAAAAGTTCTTTGCGTTATAACCGTTAATCCATATGAAACGTGGAATGTCAGGTGTACATCGACAATACTGATCTATACGGGTAGACATCCCGCCACCGGTTGTTAGCTACAACCATCGTTTGACAAGTTGAATGCATGTGTTGACGTTTCTACTCTACTTACCCGACAACGTTGAAAAAGTGTTGGTGTGGAACTTCTTAGCATGCCTCTTCTTAGTGTTGGTGTAGAGGCTGCAAGTCGCAGTTCGGTTATAAACTCATTATAGACCCCATAATTGGTGCACTCATGCGCAATTCGAAATCAAATTATTTATATATGCAATGGGGATATTTATCTAGTACACTCATAAGTCGTTCGAAATAAAATTGTCTGTAGTAGGAAAGCTATGTCCAAATAACTATGTGTCAGTATAAACCCTTAACACAAGACTCTTCACTATTTATAAAACCTGTTGAATCATAAAAGTGACCCTCTTGAACTTGAGCTACCGCAGCTCTCAAGGATCCGCAGTCAAACCTTCATCAGCAACCTCATCCGAAGTCATCATCAACCGCAACTTTACTTACTAGTTTACTTAGTTTAACTTTATATACTTTTTGTTGTAGTACTCTCTATTGTCCAGTATGCCTTGCATGGCTACTCTTAGAGTTTTGATCCAATGTAATTCTCGAGTCTCTATATATAGAGCTCAATCTTTCTTATTCAATATAACTTCTATGCTATCAATTACATCTCTCACTTCTATCTGATTACGCATCTTAAATCTCTCCTTACTCTCAAAGTTCACTAGAACATAACTGAATATTATTTCTCTTCGGAGCAAGTCATTCGTGACTTAATCACTAAGTTTGATCTCACTTACTAACTTGGTCTGAATGCATTCCATGTTATGAATCAACTTATGTGTATACTTGATATATCACCTGCTGTCATTTATATTTCCTTACATTTCCGCAACTAACTCTCTAATTATCTAACTCGTTAACTTATTATTATTGTTGAGCTTTTAGATCCTTTGAGATAAACTATTCCGCAACTATACTTGTTCTAACGTTTGTTCAAGTGTGTCTCAAATTTTTCTCTCAACAATTGGTATCAGAGCCATAGTGGTTGCTTTTTGAAAAACAAAACTCTGATTTTCAAAGGGCCTTCTATACCACTGAAGCTCATTTCTTAAAAAAAAAAAAAACTTCAAAAAACAAGGAAAAATAGCACAAGCATTATCTCTGAATGTTTCCAACAGTGTTGGTGGTTCAAATCGAGCCCCAATATTGGTGGCAAATGAATATCATCACTGGTCTCAGAGAATGGAAAGATACTTAAGGAGACTTGGTAGAGATGTATGGCGATCCGTAGAAGAAGGACCACATGTCCCTGTTCTTACACCAGTTCAAACTGATGGCGCCACAGCCAGACTAGGAGGAGGACAACCAGTCATGAACCGTCCCACCAAAGATGATCTCGATAAAATGGAAAATGATGCTGTTGCTTTTTATGAAATCTCTTGTGGAGTTGCTCCTGATAACTTCGACATTATCATAAACTACAAATCAGCAAAAGAGATCTGGGAAGTTCTCAAGAATTTATACGAAGGCTCGGAACAAGCTCAATATAAGAAGCTCACAACTACACTCAATGAGTTCAACAATTTCAAAGCTCATACTGGCGAAAGTCTAGAAGACTCCTTTAAAAGGTTCAAACTGATAGTCACCAAGTTATCGAATGCTGGCACCATCCGCAGTAACCATGAAACAAACCTTCAGTTTCTCAACGGTTTGGGAAGACATTGGACTACTGCTAAGATGATAGTTCAAGGGGATAGAAAGATTCATTCTTTGTCTCTCTACAAGCTCTACAGGGAACTGCAAACACAAGAATCCACCGTACTCAAAGACTGTGCTGACTTCGGAGGACCACTCGCTCTTATAGCACAAGCTCCACATAATCAATCCTACTCTCCCTCGTATGACACTACACCGCAGTCATACGAAGCCGACTTAGAGTATGATGATGAAGAAGAATTTCAGAAGGCTATTGCTCTTGTTAGT